CCGCCATCTGAACCTATCCGGATGTGCCTCCAGCTCCATGTCCGAAAGGGTATTCCAAAGCAGCAGAATTTCTGCTAAAGCCGGCACGGACGGGGACCCCTTGATATCTCTAATCCACGCCGCCGCCGGCAGCGCGTCCACCACTAATCTCTGCATTGCCGAGGGCTTAACAACGTCATCTACCTGGGTGTTAGTTTAATGGCCAAATCTCACGGGCGACAACGCAAAACTTTTCGCTGACATCAGCTCGCTTGATGACAACGCAAAACTTTATGTCAGATCCTACGTACCTCTACCTCTCACAAACAACTTGTTATTACTTATATTTTTTCTGAGGGAATGTTGTTAATTATATATAGTCCAAGAACGCTTCAGCTTGGGTCGCCGAAAATGTAGGCTAGAAGAACTCTACCAAAAATATTGGCTCGACAAATGGCGCGACACAGGAAGGATCAAGGTGAGCTCAGCAAGGCAATGCAGAAGTAGTACCCTTTTGGTTCCAGCCATAAATTGAGCAGGTTTGACAAACTGGAAAGTCAATCTTTTATTATTCCTATAGGAAACACGAACAGTTGCCATTCTTCATAAGCTAATCGCAACCTTTTTTTATTACTCCTAAGAAACACAAAGTTTATGCAAAATGGCAGCTGTTGGTGTTTCTGTGGATATATATACAAAATGGTTAACGTTATGTGCCTGGATATATATATATACAAAATGGTTAATGTTATTCGCTTGCATTCATTTTGGACCTTGAGTTGAACCATTCAGGCGCAATCCTCTTGGACAGCTGCAATCCTCTCGGACACCTCCTAAGCCAGGGCAGAAAAAAGTCGCAAGTGTAGAGTAATTCAGAAAATCGGTTATTATAGTGTGCTGACGTTATGTTCCCGTCGGATCAAACTGCATGCGCGCTTCCCTCACGGCGCAAGAAAATCTCTTGTTCGCAGCCCATAAAACACGACCAACGGCAGCTCCTCTCTATTCACAGCAACAACAACCCTCTCCTCGCAGGACGAAAAGAAATGGCGCCACCATTCGCTGGAGGCCGAATTGCAGCCTCGTCCTCCATCGTCGGCATCTTGGCCACCGGGCTCCGCTTGGCACAGTTGTGAGCATCACCTCCCACGATCCTCTGCTTTCCTCAGTTGTTCTTTCATTGTAGTATAAAAAACACTCTTATATTATGGCACGGAGCGAGTATTTTAAAAGATAAATCATTCTCTTCATTTCTATTATAGGTGCTTTGATTTGGACTTCAATGGAGCTGGCGAGATGGTCTTCCAACACTTCCTTCTCATGGATAAATCGGTCACCTGCTTCAAGCTGTTCTTCTCAGCATACCGTCAAGTCCATGCGAAGGGAGTTGGCATGTTTGCCTTCTCGTGTTTGTTTGGGTTGTCAATTCACCTGTTTACCATTGTCATTCATCTCTACAAGGACCACACGTCCTTGGCTAGAGCCTGGGTACGCTCATATTATCATATCATAAGTAGACCTTTTCCTCAAAAAATCACAAGTAGACTTAGTGTTGTACCCACGTACGCTTTATCAATTTATTTTTACAGATTTCCGGCATGGCATTCTTAGCGGCGGCTGGAGCATTTTTGCTCGCGATGAAGATCCCAGAGGATTATGCTTGGCACAACACTGCAGTCGAAGCCATTTTAATTTGTTTTGCCTGTCTTGAGGCCTTTCTGTTAGCACGCAACAAGGTACTACTAGTTGATTTCTATTCCTGAGAATATTGTTGGGATTAAAAATGCCGCTGAAATTTTTGTTTTAGACAAATGTATTTTTTTTGAAAAACTTCTGATTTATTCTTATTCAATCATGGCAGTACAACGAACACTAGTAATAATAAAAATTTACATTCAGATCCATAGATCACCTAGCAACGGCTAAGCACTAAAGTGAGCCGAACGCGCGTCGCCGTCATCGCCCCTCCATCGCCGGAGTCGGCCACAACTGGTTGTAGTAGACAGTCGAGAAATCGTCATGCTACGGCCCTATAGGACCAACGCATCAGAACAGCAATCGCCGCCAATGAAGAATAACATAGATCAGAAGAATCCACACCGAAGACACAGGAACGTAGACGAACAACGACGAGATCCGAGCAAATCCACCAAAGACAGATCCGCCGGAGACACTCCTCCACACGCCCACCAACGACTCTAGACACACCGCAGGAACGGGGGCTAGGCGGGGAGACCTTTATTCCATCTTTAGGGAGCCGCCACTGTCTCGCCTTTCTGAGCAGAACACAAACCCTAACAAAACTGAAAGAAACGACTAGAAACGAAGCCCTCCCGTCGGCCCTTGCCAGGATCCACCACACCCCCATGGCCCTAGCGCCACCTGATGAGGCGGACCTGCGGCAGCGCCGACGAGAGGCAGGAACCCTAGCTTTTGTTTTGGAGGACTACACCCGTACTTACTCGTTCAATCTAATCGGAGGGCTTCCCTTTCTCTTCATCCTTCTCATCACAACCACATCTTCCTCCCGAGGAAGCGGACGTTCTTGCTATCCACCGGCGTTCACTGACCACTGATGAACTCGAAGAACTCGGCCTCAACGGCCATGTAACAAATGTATCTTTGTTATTCCTAAACCGGCTCCTGTCATTGTTATAGGAAAACAAACTAATATTTCTACACAGAAATATAATTGAATCTACATATCAATATGATATTCCTTGTTTGATCAGATTTCTACACATCTACGGTTATACTATGTCTTGCCAAAGAGAAACATTATTTGTTGGTTGTTGAGAACTACTCCCTCACTTATTTTGGTACGGAGGGAGTATATAAACTGTAAATATGTGTGGTTTGTGGTCTTTCCTCTACTAATATGGCAAGAAATAATTCGGTTTCACTTTGGGCATCACCAAAAAAAATTTGATAACCTGATACATCTAGTTGATGCAAGTAGCTCTGTTCTCTGAACTTGTGGTAGGTCATTCTCTTAGTGTGCCTACTGCCACTAGATGGCCTTTTTTCTTACTTTTTTTATGTTTTCTTTGGGCATGACTATGTTATTGTTGCTCTAGCCGTATTAAATGCTTGAAAATCTGGAACTGGCTGTATGAATGTTTGCGTTATTTATAAATTGAGACAAAATCTTATTTCGAGAGATTCTGTGACTTTGCTTGTCAAGTCTCAACTTTATTCTCTATGAAACGGAATATTGATATATTAGTTCACTATAAAATTACATTTGTGTGAGTATTATATTTGTATTTTTTTACTTCAATACTAATGTGGATTTGTGTTTTGCAAGTTTGATGCTACTCCTTCTGTCCCATAATGTAAAACGTTTTTTGACACTACAATAGTGTTAAAAAACGTCTTACATTATGAGACGGAGGGAGTATATTATATATTGTACCCGAACATCCGATTTTTGATTTTCATGCTAGACACTCAGGCTTAACTTGCCCAGGCTTCACAAAAATCCTGACCCCGCCACTGGATATACAGGCGGTGACTTCGGGAGAAGGGCCGGAGATCTATTGGGGAGGCATGGCGGGCGTCGCCAGCTCGAAAGCAGCAAAGACGGCGGGAGTCGCCAGCTCCGGTAGCCCGAAAGAGCAGCACAAGGCGATGACGGAGAGAGAGGAACAGAAGGCAGCGTGGCGGGCGGCGCGGCAAACATTCCGCAAGGCAGCATATGCGAGCTGCGAGCGATACATGGCCATGGAGGAGGAAGACGTGGTGGAGGAGTACCGGCGGGCGAGCAAGCTTCACACCTACGATCCGGACAAGGAGGCGCAGAAGCGCCTTGCCAGGGTCGCCAAATTCTACCCGTATCCATGGCCCAAGAAGACTATCCCAATGATCAAACAATATACTCCCTCCATTCCAAAATATAGTGCGCCCGCGCTTTCCGAGGTCCAACTTTGACCATAAATTTAACCAACAAGAGCAACTGCGGCGGGAGAAAAAAATTATATAATTGAAAACTTCTTTCGAATACGAATTCACTGATATAATTTTTGCTCCCGCCGCAATCGGTCTTGATAATTAAATTTACGGTCAAAGTTGAAGCACGTGGATAGAGAAAGCACTACATTATGGAATGGAGGGAGTACGAAGTTTCTGGAAAAAGACGAGGACGACTATAGGATCGGACTCTATTTGTTCCTCGGCTAAGAGAAAAGAAAGATAATAGTACTCCCTCCGTTCTAAATTAACCACTAGCTTTGATGTTTTTTCTGCTTCATCATTACATTGGATTATTTTCTTGGCGTGGAACGAAAACATTCCAATGATAGCGAGGTATCTCCGCGGCTCTAGTTTCTCAGACCACATTAATAAAAAACTTCAGTCTTTGGTTGACGATTTGAGTGTATCACAAAGTCAAGCAATGTTTTTTTCGTAATAAACAAGACGAGCAAATAGGTTAACAAAATGCGCACGGCTGTGCGGTCGTCGGCAGAAAGCAAAAGATGTTGGACCGATATTACTGAAAGCGCCATTTGGTTAGAGCCGCGATTACGACCTACGGTTAACATTTTAACAATGTGAATTTCGTGAGATGTGCAGTTAACAATGCATTAGGCCGTGATCATGTGCTAGGACTCGTGAATGGGGTGTCTATGGGGCTTACTCGCTGTCGAAGAAAACATGAATGAGTGATTAGAAGCAGTCCAAAATCTTGGAAACCTTTTCGCTTTGTGGTTGAGATCACTGGCAGGCTGACTGGAAGTAACTGTCAGGTGGAGCAGAGCCGGAGAGCTTAAGAGTTCAGAGTTTCTATTCGCAGGTGTGAAGGTTCAGGAGAGACCAATCTAGCAACTCTCCTGAATTTCCCATCTCTTTGTCTTCAATTTATTTATTTCACTACTTTGTTATCACATTGGAAAGCAGAGCACTTAGTGAACTTTCACTCAAAATCCAACTCCAGCAGTTCTATCTAGTACTAGTAATTCTACACACTGTAATAAACTCCAGCAGTTCTATCTAGTACGAGCACAGCAGCTGCATCACCGGCCTTATGTATGGCACATTGGCGCACGCCGTCGATCGCCGTAGCTGGCATGAGCGACCGGCAGGCAGCGGAGCACACGGCCAGCTACAAACTGCACAAGGGAGCGAATGGGCTGCGCCCGGCGATCAGCAGATGCCGCAGGAGCTGGGGTCCTCCTCGGCGCTGTGGTTGTGGTAGTACGGGTGCGGGTGGTACTGCGGCGGCGGCGGCGGCGGGTACCACGGCATGTACACCGGGACCGCGTCCTTCTTCTCGCCCTCCTTCTTGGTATCGGCTTCCTTCTTGGCGCCGCCGTCCTTCTTCTCCTCCTTGGCCGGGCCGACGGAGAGCATCTGCGCCGTGGGGAAGAGCTTGCTGCGCAGCCTGCCGACGAGGTCGACGGGGTCGACGGTGCCCACCACCGTCATCTTCTGGTCCTTCATGTCCACGGCGATCTGGTCGATGCCTGAGGCAAGCGGCAGTTGTTATCATCGGAAATGTCAAACTGAAACATGATGAAGATCCTGGCAATCCCCTCCGTCCATGACTAGGACGGACCTGGAGAAGAAGGAGAAGCAGGGGATTCTTACCGTGGAGAGTGGAGACGACCTTGAGCGCCTTCTGCTTCTGCCTGTCGTCGTGCAGGTCCAGCTTCAGCACCACCTGAATTCCACAGACGCCAGACAAGAAAACACGATGAGCAAACTGGACCACAGAAACCAAGAGCTTCGACCAGCTATACTGTAAGCAACGGACCTTCTTTTCCGCCATGGATCAAACCCGGCCGGGACCTACGGACGTTGGCCAGCGAGCACGATGGGAAAGGGAGGAAGAAAGCGCGGTGTGATCTGAGAGATAGGGGAGTGACTCTGAGCACTGGGCAGCGGGTGGATTTATAGGCCGTGGCACGGCGGGGCACGCAGGTACGCACGTGACCAGCCTCGCCGCGAAGCTTCCGGAGAATCGCCCGCGTGACAGAGAATCCCGGCGCTTAACCGCGGCCGGAAGAGACCGAGCCGGACCTCGTTGTCTCGGTCTCTTCTTCTATGGTGGCTTGCGACTGGACCCGGGCAAGGCCACTGGTGGGCAACGGAGCCGTGTCCCATGTGCATGCGCGTCGCGACCCGGCGAGGGATACGGGGCGCGGTCACCGCGTCAACGGCGTGGCCTGTGGCCGTGGCCTGCCCGAGTGTTGGTACGCGTCCACGTCGGGCCCTAGTGACATGATTGCGAGCATATGGACTGACTGACTGACTGACCTTAATTGGGAGCTAAGCTAAGCCGAAGTGGATCTGAGAGTGGCTGTGCTGTCGCTGGTTTCGTCCCTTGTCCCGCCTGCCTGACTGCAGATGCAAATCACCATTATTATGACAAACAGCGACGCGGCACTCGAGCCGCCAACCATGGCCAGGAAAAAAGAAGAGAGAAGACGATTTCAGGTCCTCGGGCACCGCCACTGTTCCTTGAATACTACTCCCTCCGTTGAGTCATCTATTTTGAAATGGAGGGAGTACATCCTGCCTTCAACTAGAATACTATGCTGAATACCCCAAATCTGGTACGTAGATGCTTCACGGTGCAGAGGGACAGAGAGGAGCAGCAGAGTTCACCGGCATCAGAAGAGAACAATCAGGAGCCGGAGTACACTTGTACTGTAGCAACCAAGAATAGATTGCGTACGACGGGCCCCCGCTTTAGCAACCGACCGTGCTCGAGGGTCAAGGCAACAAGAGGATCGATCAACGCACAAGAAAAAAGTGGCCATGGGTTTGCGATCAGTCCTGCACGGCCGCACCGCCACCACCACCATCTTCAGAAGGATTCAACACTGCATCTGCATGCCCGGTCTTCTTCTATTCTACAGCTTTTGGAATAATCGAAAGAGAATTAGCGGTGATGATGCGGCAGCATCGGTCCGTACGAGTACAAGGCAGGAGTCCACCTACACTGTCTGATGGCTACAGTACGTGGAGGAGGCGGCGGCATGAGTCCAAGGTCGACATGGTCCATTGACCAGTTTTGAAAGTCTGAATTCCCATGCGCGCACTACTAGTGCCGTGCGTGCAGGTACAAAATCACGGTGTTCACTTTCAGTGGGATTTCGATGAAATTCACACTAAATTTCATTAGTTTCAGCAGACATCGAAATATTACGTTTCGGTTAAAATATTTCGGCAATTTCACTAGTACACATATACTCGAATGTTTTTTAAAAAGTTTTCAAAATTTTAATTGAACTCAAGTGAATATTTCAGCCCTTTAATTAAAATGAAAACTGAAATTCACTGAATTTCGATGGTTTCGGTTGGTGCTGAAATGTTTCTGGAACTGAAATTGAAAACTAGCAGATGTTAGGACCCGTGAACGAATTCGTATCAACTTTTGGTTTTTTAATACTAGCAGTGAGTGTAACATGACGTTAAAGCTCCCCTGTGCAGATGGACATGTTCGAACACTCCACCTCCAAGCCACCTAGCCGGCTAGCTATACGATCAACAAGCGTACTCCCTCCATTTAATGGACAAGCATTTTTGGACGAAGGAAATACTAACAGAAGTTGGGATACAATGTTAAAAGGGTCGGCTATATTATTGCCAGGATCAATTGTTTGCCTGCACAAATCTGATCTCCTAAGCCGCAAACGGAGCAGCACACATCGCTCTCACCGGCCTGACGTCGAAAACTTGACATCATGGTCTCCTACCTGGCTTAGCTCACCAAATATACATCAGGTCTTATATATCTTCGAGGGATCCATGACAGAATCTCATATCTTCTGTATCTTCAAGGGATCTGTGACAGAATGGGCAGCCCGCACTGGTACAGGATTGATCTTTGGATGCAGTTTTCGTCTCGAAGCCTATGTCGCTAATAGAAGAATCAGCATATGCTGTTTTGGAAACCGCTTGCGCTAATGATCCAACACAAGCGTATATGCTGGCAAACCATCTCCAATGAAAGGACACGGGGGTTGTGTATGGAACCGCCTCCAAGATTTTCAAGGGTTGTCCTTCTATATTTTGTAATCAGCCCTGGTACTGAAATTCACCTAAAACTACTATTCGACAATCATCATGCTATGTTACAATACATCACACGAGTTTACATACAGGACCACTTAAAACATGAAACAAATGCTATTAGACTAAGGCTTTCCGCACGTCACCCAGGGTTCTTCCCTCTATTCGCTAGATCCCAATTGCGTCAACTTCATTCGACACACTCGAAGAAGAGGAACACTGACGCTTGCAAGACACCAAACACAACTGTACTAGCTGACTCCAACTCCACCCGGAGAGTGCCACATGTCGACCATTATACACAAATCTCACCGGATCCGAGACCGGCAAGAAGACTGAGCCACCTGCTCCTTGGTGTCGCCCATTAGAACGCCAACGGGATGGAGGAAGAGCAAAAGCAAATTATTCCGACGTGGCACCGAATTGATGCAACACCTCTGACAAAAAACTACGCATATCCTATCTCCCCGCCAAAGAGAAACTGCCGGGATCCCCACTCGCTCCCGCCATTGGAGCAACAAATGGAGAGGACGAGGACCCACTGCGTCTTGCAGCGGGTCCCAGGAGAGCGAACAAAGCGGTTGAAAACTAGGGAGGTTCCTGACATTGACTTATCAAGTGTGGTTGTAGCCCTAGGCCACTAGAGATCATACTCTAAGTTTTTATGATTTTCATATGTCATGAAATTATATTTGATTTGTCTAACTAGGATGAAAACATTCGAACGACAGATAGGTATCTCCACAACTCCAATCTCCAAATCGGGTAAAAAAAATCCAGTCTTCAGTTTACCCTCATTGGGGGAGAGTCTTCCATTGACGTTCTGAGTTCATCTTGTTGTTTCTACAGAAAAGATTCAAAAAAAATTTCAAAAATGAAGCAGACTTGTCACAAAGTCAGCCAGTGGCGAACGCAGGAATAATTTCTAGGTGTGGCGGAGTGTATGAACAAAAAAAACCATGTATAATTCAACTATGGAAGTGCTCACTAGAATACTCGATAAATATTACTTGGTGTTCAACAAATAAAACCGAAATCAAAACTTAACTATTGGCACTCTAAATACCTCAGCTGATGAAGATTACATGGATGATTGAGTGCCAAAAAAACCATTTATATTACCTAGACCGGCATAAAAATGACCTATAAAATATAAACACCAGAGATAAATCATGAATTAGTAACTAGTAGGATATAATGATAGAAACAACATTATGCAAGTGAAGATAGTTAGAAAGAATACCATGCTTCACAAAAGGCCCTGTCAAAATGATCACGTTCGTACATATGACCGACCGGTCGAGTTGGACCCTTTGCCACATAAGCCAATCTAACTTCATCTCTAATGTTGGGATGAAAATTATTAATTGGAATACGAAGCCCGGGATCAGGTTGGATGTGGTCAGGATGCAACTTCTCAATGAACTTGCCTTCTCCCCCGTCTCTAGCTATTGGTTCATTCTCAATATAATTTTCGCCTTCATTCTCTTCCTCTTGAACAGATGCTGAAACTTCAATCCGCACATTCTCTTGATGCGCACGCTCTTCTCGTCGTTCAGCGACTACTTCCAAAATTGGAGCTGGGCTCGAGGTGCTAGTGCCACTGGCTTTGGCAAAAATACTCTTTAAATCTGTATAAGAGAACACAAGAGAAACTAATTGGAGGTTGGAGCAATACCAATAGAATAATTAAATAAATGTTCAAGCAAGTAACCTGAGTACATACATGACACAATTGAAATGATGCAATCAAGGGGAAGAACCGAAGAACTACAACTAAATTATACCTTTCATTACATACTTAATCCTCTTCTTCGGCGGCGTCATCTGCAAACCCTGCGGACTCGCCGAGTCGCGGCCGCCGCCTTGCTGATCTCGGAGCCTGTCGCCGCCTTGCCTGTCGCCGCCTTCGCGCCCACGGTGTCCGGTGGTTGATTGCCGGCTGCCCGCTGCCATGCGTCCGTGCGGCCGTGCCCTAGCCTCTAAAGCGCCGCCGCGCCGCCTCCGTCTTGCGAGAAAGTAGCAACGAACGACTCGTATTCTCGTCTCATAGAGTCGTAGTTTGCCTAGCAGTCGTGAAAATGTAATCGATCATCTGTGTCCTTCAGCCCATAGCCCATGGACACGGCCCGTCATTCATTCGGCAGTAACCAAGCCCAATAGGAGGCACGCGCACGCCCCACTACCTGAAAAATACGCCAGGCTAATACACTAGTATATATACGTATTTGCACGGCAGCTTAGGTATGGCGTTCGCCAAACCACGCCATATAGCTAGGTTCGCCCCTGAAGTCAGCCCAATATAGGGTGACGAACGGATAACATGTGCATGAGTTCGCAGCCGTCCGTAGAACACAAAAGATGTTCGATTCAATCATAGTACAAAATGAAAATTGTATGCAGTTAGAGCAGCGATTAAGACATGCAATTAACAATGTATATTTTGTGAGATGGACGGTTAGCAATTTTATTAGGTCATACTCATGCCGAGGAAAACACACGTGAGTAATAAAAACGGTCCAAAAGCTTGGAAACCTTTCGCTTTGTCAGTCGAGATGACTGACTGGCTGACTGAAAGCAACTCTCAAGTGGGCTTCAGAGTTCAAACTTTTTACTGGCGAATGAAAAGATGCACGAGCGACCAATCTGCTGCACCTCCAGTTTATTTGTGTCAATACTTTCTTATCACCAATTTGGGGGCACTCGATGAACTTTTTCTGGAAAAACTATTGCAGCAGTTCTATCTGGTCC